AATAACTAATTTAACATCATCAAATGTTGACCATCATTTACCTAATACCAGAAATAATGATGACTTCCATTTAATGACCAAAAAGTATAACATATGCTACAAATCTGTATTCCATCAAGGATTGATTGAATATAATAAATTATACTCGGAGATAAAAGACCAGAAAACTTTGACAAAATTTAAAGTAAAATTGAGAAATCACTTGTTAAATCTACAATTATAGGTTGCCCAGCATTTACATCATACACCATATGGCTTGAATTTACTAGGTCTAAGTTGTTTACAATTGTTCTGTTTATGTAGCCAAATGTGCTAAATAAATCTTTCTACTACTACTACTACTACTACTACCTCTTTTTCCCTTTTCATAATTTTAGAATCTCTGAATTGGACGCCTTGCAAACGATTTTCTCTAGCAGTACCAGTCAAAAAGAAATATTTTTCTGTCAATTTTACCATAAGAGGGAGAGAAGTGAAAAAATTGTCGAAAACTAAATGAAATTTTTCATTTGGCCATTTTCTCCTCAGTGCATCAAATCTGCATAATTCTTACTAATCTTGGTTGACGACCCTTGGTAAGGTTCAACCTAGTAAACGTAGCCTAGTCTTGATGCGCCAACCCATAATTTATAGCCGTATCGTATAGGTTTTCCGTGAATGAACTGTTTGCATGAGTGTCTCCCAAAATAAGGAACCATTGCCTCATCTACACTATGCATTTGTGATTCAGGCTCTCAAATAAAGGTCTAACTTTTGCAAACTTATCTCCTTGCTGTAAATTGTAGTTATCTACTGAATGGAAATCTGACATAATATACTCAAATTTATCTCGTGTAAGCGCTTCTGTGACGAGTTGATTATTAGCATCTCTTTCACGTTCCCAGAACATTCTTCTACGTGGTACATCGACATAACCACTCAATATTAGTGTTCCAATAAATGCCCTTATTTCATACTCTTGCACCTCTTGTTGGCGATTCTTTTGCCTGGCATATCTATTTGTTTCAGTTGTTATGCGTGTTATAAGTTCGCCGTCAAAAAAAAGTGAAAACCATTCAAGTGGAGTCTTAGAAGAATTATTTTGTTCAAGAATTTCTTCGAAGTTTCCTGGAACTTATTGTGGTAGATCCTCCTTCACCCGTTTGTACGTTTTTCGTTTCTTTAGCTTTTTATTTTTTATTTCTTTTAGCCAATTCAGAAAATGGAATATTATCTTCGGAATCAGATGAAGATATGCTAAATTTTTCATGAGGTATGTATGTTTATCTCAGCAGGTGCTTGTAATTGTGAACCCAGTAGATTATCAGCTGACATTACATTCTCATCGCCGGAGTCCTGGTCTGTGAGAATATCACAAGCATTGATTGGAGGCATCAATGTGATATTATCCAGATTTGCTACTGCATCTTCATTATCCACCAGCATAGCAAGGGCTTCCTCCAGAGAAAAGCCCCTAAAAATTAAACAGGCATGTATTTTCCTGGCGTACAATATTTTGCACACTCAAATATAATGACACAACTGTGAATCCGAAATAATAACGTAAGTAATTTGGCATTATAACTGGATAAAAGCATGTGTGTTTTATTGGCAGAAGCAATCAAAACATTTTTTTATTTACGTAAAGACCATGTATTTACTTACTTGGCAAATCATATTCCATATTCAGCCATGTCACAAAAAATAAAAACTTCTTCACAAAATCGCAAAAAAATCCCAATACAACGATAACATCTGTGCTATTACCGCGTCAAAATAAGCACAGGTCGTTGCTAGTCGCGACTTGTTTTCGGTGTACCATAAAATTGTACGCTAGGCATATCTGGGTTAAGTATTGCGAGATAAAAATGACGTTTACTGGTAACAATCCGTCCAAATGTAATCAGCGTGCGGTCATTCAATTACAATAAAATCGTCGAATTTCAATTAGAGGAATTTCAGAAAATGTTAGTGTGAGTATAGGATCCAATTTGTCGGCTTTCTTTCGTCAATAATTGCTGGCGACGAATCTTAATGTAATTACTTTGAACCATCCAGTAAGCTGTCATCGATGCATTGGAAACTCGCAAATTCTCCGCCACCAAAGAAATTTAAAGTTCAACCTTCTGCAGGCAAGGTCTTGTTAACATTTTTTTAGACCATGAAGCACCCTTGCTCATAGAGTTTGAAGAACCCATAGAGTCCATATAAACGCAAACCGGTGTAATGAAACTTTGAACAATCTCCACCAAACAATGAGACGAAAACGTCCAGGGAAGCTGTCACGTGGTGTCATGCTTCTGCTCTTCCTCATGTTGCCAGAGTAATGAAAGAAAATCAGTAGTGTTAGAATAATGAATGTTTGCGCCCTTGGTTCTGTTTCGTATAAGTTATAACTCAGGTTTAGTGCAAGATTGAATCGAAAATGGGCTAAAACGTGACAACTGTTATGATTATACATGACTACAGTAAAATCTGGAACATACAGATTAAAATATACTAAGTGACATATAAATCCGAACACCCAGTTTAAATGGTTTTATTTTAATAAAAGTTGGTGAATGTATTTATCTTACTGTAAATAACAAGTGAAAAAATGTTCAGCCTTATCAGTTGGACATTCCGGTTTTTGTACTGCTTTTTTTTAAATTCACTAACGCTCTAAAAATGAATATTTCAGCCGCAGTAAAGAATCAACGTTGGCGGATTTTGGTTCTTGACATCCTTTACGATCGGTTACGATGCCTAGAGTACGGAGACCTGTACGATTTCGTTAACTTAGTGAGTCTGATAGGGGCCGTATAGTGGGACTTCGGGAAGCTGGACTTTCTTTTCGGGCAATTGCAGTTAGAGTGCAAAGAAGTGTAGACACTGTGGTTAGGTGTTGTCAGACATGGCTTCGAGAAGGCCGTACGCAAAGAGCAAGGGGCACTGGACGCCGCCGTAGAACAACAGACAGTGAAGATCGCCGCCTAAGATTATTGGCCTTAAGGGACCGTTTCTCCACTACCAGGTCCATTGCAAATGAATGGTTTGCAGAACACGGAAGACCTATTGGCATGCGAAGTGTTTACCGACGAATGAGAAGTTTTGGCTTGTTTTCATACCGGCCACACTGGGTCCTCCCTTTAACTCGAGAACACCGACGTAATCGCCTTGAGTGGTGCAGACAACGGTCACTCTGGGATTAGGAATGGAACAGTATTGTCTTTAGTGACGAGTCTCGATTTTCTTTAGGCATGCACGATGGTCGTGCCAGGGTTAGAAGGCGACGTGGTGAAAGGAGGAATCCACAACTTTTTTTTTGAAAGACATGTTCATCACACTGTTGGAGTTATGCTTTGGGGTACTATAGCTTATGGTTCCAGGTCACCTTTAATCTTCATCAGAGGTAACATGAACGCGCAGCGTTATATCCACGAAGTTCTAGAACCCCATCTTTTACCCTATCTTGACACCCTGGCAGATCCAACATTCCAACAAGATAATGCCTGACCACATGTTGCAAGAGTCACAATAGACTTCTTTCAACATAATGATGTCACATTGTTACCATGGCCACCAAGATCTCCAGACTTATCCCCAATTGAGCACGTGTGGGATATGATGGGTAGGAGATTGCTCAATTTGCAACGTCCTCCTCAGACTCTAGAAGCACTTCGAGAGGAGTTGGTGGTTGCCTGGAATGAGATACCACAGGAGGACATTGACCACCTGATCAGAAGCATGCCTAGGCGCGTTGGAGAATGCATAGCACATCAGGGTGCATCCACACATTATTAAAGGTCAAAGGGCTTTAAAGCAGTGCAATAATTTTGAAATTTTTATCATTTACTTATTATGCTTCATTAAGTACTTATACAAAATTTTATTAAAATAAAACCATTTAAACTGGGTGTTCGGATTTATATGTCACTTAGTATATATTGGTCAGTTCTGGATGTACGAAGTTCGACAAGGTTAGAATACGGTGCCAACATGTAGGAGTGCTTTGAGGAGAAAGCTCGTTGGCATAGCGGTAGAAGAAAGCTAGATCGCCGACCGCCCACCGGTACAAAGGGGTCTCGAGACTGTCCGTTAGAGAAGAATCACTGATCAGTTGGACAGCCTTCCTCTGAACAGCCATGATAATTTTGAGCCTAAACGATTCCGATGGCAGTGTAATCTGTAGGATGGCAAAATGACCTCGACATCAATTTCAAGGATCGAAATTCAGCTACAAAATTGTTGCTAAAGAAGACGTTCACGTTCGGATTTATATGTCACTTAGTATATATTGGCCAGTTCTGGATGTACGAAGTTCGACAAGGTTAGAATACGGTGCCAACATGTAGGAGTGCTTTGAGGAGAAAGCTCGTTGGCATAGCGGTAGAAGAAAGCTAGATCGCCGACCGCCCACCGGTACAAAGGGGTCTCGAGACTGTCCGTTAGAGAAGAATCACTGATCAGTTGGACAGCCTTCCTCTGAACAGCCATGATAATTTTGAGCCTAAACGATTCCGATGGCAGTGTAATCTGTAGGATGGCAAAATGACCTCGACATCAATTTCAAGGATCGAAATTCAGCTACAAAATTCTTGCTAAAGAAGACGTTCACAATCAAACTTGAAATATAAATTCAAACACAGCTATACATTCACAGGTCTATTTATGAAACACCCAATTCCGTAAAACATTTTCAAATGTGTACCTGTCAATAAGGTCAATTTTCAAAAGAAACTGACCCGTCAAATCGTTTTGTTTTTTGGCAATAGCAAACCTTAGATGGATAAAATCTATTTCAGCGATAATAATAATTGATTTTTGAAAGAAACCTAGTCGCTGTACACGAAGTTCAAAACCAAAAAATAGTGGCATAGCAACACCACATAGTAAATTAGCATTTCTATCCTCATATGTTTGCCCTGCACGATTGAACATGTGAGAAAATAAATACACTGGTACTAAATCTTCTTCTTCAACTAAATTAAGCACTAAATATATCTACGTTTCATTTTACACATTAGAGTTAGTTCTCCTACCTAATCGTTGCTGTAAGGCCTCGCCCACACTAGAAGCAGTGATCAACTCAGGTTCAGGCAAATCTTGCGCTTCTTCAGGCACTTCAATCTCAGAAGAGGGATTTTTCTGAGTCTCGTTCTGTTCAGGTTTCGCCTCTTCAACCGGTGGTTCGCCAGGTGGACCTGGCATGTTAGAGAGGTCCACTTCCTGGCCATCTTGAACGGCCGCTATCACGTTTTCGAACAGCTTCGCTATCTTCACGTATCTAAGATTAGAAAAATGTCAGATTGTAATTTTGCTGTGATATGCACGCGGGCACTTCACAAAAAAATATTGTGGGATCCCAGTGTTAAAATTTTACCTTATGGCAGTATCGGCGTCTCCTTCCTTTTTTGCCTTCAATGCGGCTATTTTGTACTGCTTCTGACGTTCTGACAAGACGCTCAAAAGTTCCGTGTCTATAGAGGCCTTTTCTTGGGCGACATTTTCCTGTACATTTATAGGCAAAGTTACTGGTTCAGGATCTGGTTCAGCTGGGGATTCTTGGGAAGCTGTAGGTACATCTTCTTGAGGTTCCTGGAAAATAAATTAAAGCTAACATATCTTGGATCTTTTAGAGTAAAATAAGGGATTTTATTGTATACTGAGTGAAAGGTAAACACCTGCGTATGTTTATCCGATTTTAATAATTTTTGGCATATATGTTCAGTGTTCCTTACTAGTAAAATGATTAAATTTTCAGCTTGATTTGTCAATGCAGCCACCACAAATACTTAACAAAAAAACCTGACCATTTTATCACTTGTTGTTCACGGCAAGATAAATCGATTTGTAGAAAATTCTTGAATTCTAAATACATACGTGACTATTTACCTTTTTTTGTCACTCGGTATACTATACGACGAATTTATAAAATAATAATATAAAGAGTCATTATTTAAACCGCCGAAATCCAGTGCATATTTTGGCAACCAGTAGCACAGCTGTCAGTATTTTTTGCCAAAAAATCCTTCAATGAGTTCATCGCCACCAGAACTCCAGTTATCTACTTTAATGGCGTAAGTAAACTTGTTTCTCGTTGGCAAAAGTGTACTGATTCTAATGGTTTTTATTTTGATTAATAAAGTTTCGTTCAAGCTGAGATACACTCCTTTCAGTTTGAAGGTACAAAACCGCAAGAACTTTCCAAACAACCTAATACAAGTAACAGAAATACAATGATGCATTATCTACCACCGTGTGCGTGAATACAACAAGCAGGACACAAGCTTATCATATATGAAAGAGTCGATAACCACACAAGAAAGTATCACCAATCAGGGTAGCAGCTACCAAATGATTATATTAACAACAATAAGAGGCCTGACATAAAAAGACAATTCAAGCTACAATGTAGTTTACGCCAATGCGAATGTTTGACGCTTGTCGTCCGTCAGAATACTTTTATAAATTCCTACTATAGAAGCAAAATTTCCCGTTTCATCACTCGTAGCGTTTGCCGTTGACCAATAAAAAGCGATAAAGTGGGAAATAATATCTTCACAAATCTTACAGTATCTGGCAGTGCCGGTGCAGGTCTTGAAGGTTTCTTATCCCCAACGTGTATCTCTGGTGGCACACTTTCATCATTCAGATTCACAGGTTTTCCAGCCTGAGCTTGTTTGACAAGGTCTTTGAGCGTCTTAATAGCTCTGCCATATCGCCGCGCTTTGCTACTCTCACCAGAAGACTTGGCTATCTTTTCAGCTTGCTCGTAGCTTTTCAGACGTTCTAGAAGCACTGTGCTCGTATCAGAAACGGGGGAGGAGTCTGGTGGTTCTGGAGCGGGAGCTGCAGTTGTGACGTCAGCTTCCTCTTCTTCACCTACCAATGAAAAAGGTTTAGATAAAAGTTGATGACTAATAGATTTCCTTTCATTCACGTCGTGAATTGGCAAAAAATAATGTTAATGAAGTAATAGTGAGATTTTTTTTGATGTCGCATGTATAATGCGAAAAACAGTCTTGGGCCCTAGTAACTTGGAAAGTACTGCTCGGATTTTTATTAATGTTCAACACAATGTTATTGCCATGTCAAGGACAAAAAAGCTTTGTGACTTTACAGAATTTTGTTTAGGACTTATCTGTCCTATATATTCCCTTAATTTTCTTTTAAACATCTTTAAATTACAAGTAGACTATATTATTTAGTTTATTAAATCCAAGTAATCCTTTCTGAAATATTGATTTGCTAATTATATTACTATTGCAATTTTGTAAATGTAAATCTATATTTCCTCTTGTACAGGGTGGCCCATAAGTCCTTTGAGCAGGAAAAAAAGGAATAAAACCAAACTAGTTACATTATGAAGAATTATTATATTTTGTTATCATCTTTATTGAATGGGAATTATGTTTTAAAAATCACATCGTCTAAATGCAATCCATTACGATCACGGCACTCATATAAACGACGTCTAAAATTGTCGATGACTGCGCGGCAAGTTAACACTGTAATGCTTGCCATTTCTCTTCGGATATTTTCTTTCAGGACATCAACTGATCGCGGAGTGGTGTCGTACACTTTACTCTTGAGGTAGCCCCATAAAAAGAAGTCCATTGGGGTCAAATCTGGACTACGTGGTGGCCAGGAAATGTCTCCTCTTCCAGAAATTACTTTGCTAGGAAAAAGTTGACAGATGACGGGCATAGAAGTGTTGGAGGTGTGGGCAGTTGCTCAGTCCTGTTGAAACCAGGTCTGCGTATTATAGCCTGGAGAATTCTGCAACGCTGGTGTCAAAAACTCTTCTATCATTGCTACATACCGCTCCGAAGTAACAGTTAATGCGCGACCTGTCGTCCTCAAAAAAATAAGGGCCTATGATGCCATGCGCTGACATAGCAGCCCAAACTGTAACTTTAGGGCTGTGTAAGGGCTTTTGATGCTTACGCCTTGGATTTTCGGAGCTCCAATAACGGCAATTTTGTTTATTTACATGCCCGTTTAAATGGAAGTGAGCCTCGTCCGAGAACAACACATTATTGAGCGAAGAAAATCGATTCAACATTTCATTCGCAAAGTTTAGTCTCTGAATAGCGTCATTATCTTTTAATTCCTGCACTAACTGAATTTTGTAAGCGTGCAGACGTAAATCTTTCCTTAAAATCCGCTGTAAAGATGTTCTGGGTACGTTTAGTGCACTGGAACGCTTACGAGTAGACTGAGTAGGATTTTGACGAACAGACTGTGCCACAATGTTGATATTTTCTTCAATACGAGTTGTCCTTGGTTGACCCCACCGCTGTTTATCTAACGTCTCTTCGAAACTTAGCAACCCAGTTCTTAATCGTTTGAGCTGTTGGACACTTTGTAAAATTGTGTAAATTGTGGTATTCTCGATATTTAGCACGATCCGCTCCAGTAAAACACTCCATGGCGACAGAATTCCCAGACACTGAAGATACTGCCCCCACCTCGCCCGCGCCGCTCACGCTCACCCGTTAAATTTTATTCAAATTTGAAATTTCAAAGGACTTATGGACCACCCTGTATAATAATTGTGGTAATAACTATTCCATTCTATGAATTGTTCTAAATGTTGTGGCAAAAGATGATTTTTCATTTTAAATATAAAAATAAAAACCAAATCTGATATGTAATGTTTTATATTCAACCACTGCAATTCTTGTAACATAGATATTATTTTGGTGTACTCATTTTTATTCAATATTATTTTCATAGCTTTATTTTGCAGGACTTGTAATTTTCAGAATACAGTTTCATTAGCAATGAACAAGATAGTAAATGCAATAGAATAATTGTATTATAAACTTTTTTTTTGGAATATGTACTAAGACTATGAGAAGCCCTATAAAAGTAATTTGTTTTTTTTTTGGCAATTTTTGAAATAAGTCAGAATTTAGCATTTTTAAAGCAGTGTCTATATTTTCATCTGATATGAATATCAATGTATCATCTGCAAATATCTGAATTTTACAATCATCTAAAATATTAAAAAGGTCATTAATGTATAAAACAAATAGTAGTAGACCTAGTTTACTACCTTGTGGTACATCAACAGAAATATTTTTTGAGCTTGACAATGTAGATCCAATTTTAGATTTCTGAATTTTGCTATTTTTTTTGTGTGGTGTGAATGAAAAGTTACCAGCAATCTCGTTCAGCTCCCCTAAGAGCTCTGGATCATCTTCATCAACAGAAATGTCATCATCATCTTCATCGGCCCCCTTGACAGTATCTGCTACCATAGCGTCAAGTTCACCCTGAGGTATGATCTTCTTGGCAGGTTTCTTCCTCTGAGGTCTGCTGGGACCATTATCACTGCTCAAAGCTGCAAGTTCTGCCTCTAGATCACTGTCTCCTGCATCATCATCAAAGCTGTCATTGCCTAGGCCTGTGTTGAAGTCTGCGGGGATGTCGAAGAGACCATACTAGAAAATTAAACGAGAAATTCTTCAAAAACTTCCGTGTAGCTGGAATACCTATAAGAGTTTGTAGATTCCGAGTTTGTTGTCAATTTCACGTTAGGACACAAAGATGGTCTAAAATGACCCATTTTCTCCCTCAAATTCAGCCCCATGTAAGTCCATGATTCCCTTAAGATCATCAGCCCCAAATTATGCAAGTATGTCAAGTTGTAATTGCTTGTAACAATGGCTGGTGAAAATAGAATTTCATTCTAAAATATTTTTGGTTTCCTTGGGTGAGAAACGTAGGTGAATTATATCCACAGATTTAAAATATACTATTATATTAGGATCACTATAAATTGTATAAGTGTAGTTTCAATCACTTGTAACAATGCCTGGTAATGAAAATGGTAAATGGAAGTTTTGATTCAGAAATTCTTATATTTTCAGGATTCCAATCACTACACTACATTTCTCCATAATCTTTTGATTATCATATTAAAGTCAGTGGCCCAAATAACCTTGATTGTCATACTCCTTTCTCTCCTTAAAAAATTTCTAGATTACACTTGTCTCGTGTCAGCATCAGCGCTCTCCTAGTGTGAAGATATGTTTTATTTTTAAATTGTACGAAATTTCAGGCTGATAAAACATGATATAACTCAAAAGCAAGCACAATTGGATGCAAATAGATGTTTGTGACATATACTCAAAATAGAGTTCTGACACGGAGAAGTAGAAAACTATGACAATCAAGGAGGCCATAAAGGCACCCTACAATTGTAGGGACAACTGAGGATACGGGCCTAAAACATATGTATAGATTCTGAATCAAAAATAACCCATTTCCTGTTTCAAACTCAGTTTCCTGATGCCTCAGAATTTTTCGTTAGTCATATTTGAATTCAGCGCCTGAAATTACCTTTGTACCAAGTTTTGTTCACATGTACAGGAAATAAGCTCTAATTCAATTATCATAAGACGATTTATGAGAAAGAATAAAAAAAATACTAGCATCTTGTGTTTCTGGAATATATTCTAGAATTTTATAGGGCAATTGCGAATATTTATACCTTTCTAACAAGAAGAAAATATACAAACAAATTACATGCATCTATTTAGCTTTGTTTACCTGTGATAGATTCTTGCCACTGTGGTCCCTCTTAGGCCTCTCTTTTTTCTTGTTGAACATTTTGGGCAATTGTGACTAGCTGCAATTTAATAACAAAATTGCATGCAAGAATTTACGCTTAACACGGAAACAGACTGTAGAAAGGTAATCGTTATTTTTGGAATGATTCACGTTCACGTTCAAGGGAAAGCAGACATCACGATCAGCTGTTTTTTAAATCCTCTCTGTCAATTTGACATTTAATCAACAACTTTGTTGTTCTGTGTCATCAAAAAAGTGAAAAAATAAGCTTCTCAATTTTTATGTTTTATGCTGTAATCATAACGATGTCACTGCACTCTTGTTTTCATGATTGGTTTTTAAAATAAAGGCAGAGTTGTTCAAGCTTCAAAGGTAAACTGTTGAAAAATTTGTACTCCAAACATTTTATGCAACTTAAATTATTCTTGTGCAATTTCTTAAAGTAAGTTTATCACATTTGGTGAGATTGGAAGGGTACTACAGTCACATGCTCACTATGTACTTTTTCCAAGTTTCTTGTAGTTTGTGGCATTGTACACTAATCTCGTTGTGCAATAATATTTTGCAGATGTTCAGGAATTTCGGCAGATCGATAAACAACTTCAATAAACCCTCTTCGAGCATCAGATCTTGCATAGTCCGATATGCCCAACAACTGGAGAACAATCATAAACCAAACAACCTAGAGAAGAAATTCCTGGTATGGACAGGAAAGTACAAAACCGTTGACGAAGTTCCACCATTGGTATCCCAAGTAACCATGGAGAGATGCAGAAATAGGATGAGAATAAAGATTTCAAATTACATGATGGCTGCAACAGCATTAGGATGTTTTGCAATGGTGTACCTTGGCAAACGAGCTGCTAAAAGTGGTGACACGGTGGTCAAGCAGAACATAGAGTGGCACAAGAAGATTAAGGAAGAGAGTGAGGGGAAAACAGCCACTACTTGATTGTTTTAAATGAGCCAGATTTGTGTGCAAAAAAACACCTTCCTTGATATTATAGGTCATATAGAATTGTGTAGATTGTCTTTTGATGTAAATAAAATGCTTTATTTTTTACAGATTTGTTCTTCTAAGTTTATATTTTATTGTCATTTCTCACCTAATAACCCTCAAATAATATCCAAAATAATATGAACATCTTACTATTATACCCCATTTCACGAGTCTACATAAGGGTAGAATGACAGCTGGTTATCTAGTAACATTTCAAAATTCCACATATCGGCACAGGACACACAATTCTGACGGATCCGTCAACGCTATGTAGGCAGAGCCGAATATTTTTGTTTTTTGTCCGCTACAGATTCATTTTGTAGTTGCTAACAGCTCTTTTAGTTGGAAAAGTACATTTGCATACAAAAGACAGAACGCCACAAACAAGTTTCACTAGATTTATACCCGATGCATTATTGCCGAGTGACAAAAATGTCACTTGCTGATATGTTCACCTCAATAGACGTCCAAGAGTGGTGGATACTCGTGAAATAGGGTATAATTATATGCCTCTTAAGATGATACCATTAAAACCACATACACTTTATGAAATCATCAATTTATATGCCTCATGCTTCCCCTGAAATTATAACTAAAATTGAACTGAATATCTTCAGAACATTTATTAAAAACTTACTATCTAGGGTGTTTCCTAATTGGATGTCGCTATTTAAGGAGGCGAGTTTTTTAGGTCCATTTCAAGGAAAAAACTTCATATGAACGTGTTACCAAACATCTAAACTTTTGAGATACAGAATGGTAAATTTATGAGCAGATTTGAACTCTTTCAAATGCCACTGATGAAATGTAAAAATGTATGTCAAAAAATATCTCCTGATGTACCCTTTTGCACGAGTATCCATCACGGCAGAATGACAGCTGATTATCTAGTAATTATCTCAAAATTCCCCATATTGGCACAGAACACATAATTCTGATGGATCCGTCAACGCCAGGTAGACAGAGCCGAATTTTGTTTTGTTTTTTTGTCCGCTACAGATTTATTTTGTACTTGTTAACAGCTCTTTTATTTAGAAGAGTACGTCATATCATCCTCTGATAGACGTCATAACCACTTTGTATTTGGTCTTTTATACGTCAATTGGGTGTGACGTTAGTCCGTCATTTTTGTTGGTCGGCGTATGTCAGTAATACCCTAAAAATGCCGACATTATATGACGTCAGTATGTCCACTGGGGTGGCTGTTAATTTCAACCAGAGGATGGTATTTTAAAGTTAAAGTATTGTTCAATCAAGAAAAATTAGTAAACTGAATTGGGTCTGAGGAAAAACAAGCAATAAAACTAACATTCCTTTGGAGAGTGTTTATTTATTAACTAAAGCCATATATGATCAGAAACTTTTCAGTCATCCATAAGAACACACAGATTGTCAAGTACAGAAATTGTCCCAGCACAAGTCAAATCGCAAAGCTAAATGTTGGAATACATTATTCATTGATTATAATCGCTGTTTTTATATAACCTCTGAAACTTGTGATTGTCTCTCTGACCTATTCCTTAAAATGGCCAATAAGTGAGATCGCAGCTGTCATTACAACCGTTTTGTATTTATTGAAAGATAGTGGTAATTCAGTCGTCACATATTCCTGCTCAACATTCTGTGCTTCAGTACTTCAAAATTACAATATCTACATAAATATTTTAAATCTGTTGTGGCTTACTCAATGGAACAGTTCATTTACATTGGTCGCGTTCGTCAGAACATAGCTCCACTAAGTTTACTGCAGTGATCACTTACTACAATAATTAACCTGCAAAGCATTTATTTGATTCATCGCGCTAGTAGCACTAATGAGCCCTATTCCATAAAAGTACTAGTACTTGCAAATATGGTCAAATAATATTTTGTTCCAGCTATCAAAGACTGTATACTCGATTTCACGAGTATCCATCACGCTGACGCTGACACGGGACAAGTGTAATCTAGAAATTTTGAAGGAGAGAAAGAGGTATGACAATCAAGGAGGCCATAAACGCGCCCTACAATTGTAGGGACGACTGACGATACGGGCCTAAGACAATAAAACTGTTTGTCTCTGTCTAACATATCTGCAACTTCATCAAAAATATTCACAAATCGCTGTCGTTTGTCTTTACTACAGACTAAAATGATGACGTAATCGTCATCTTTCGTGATTTCGACAATAGGGTATACTTGTAAGAAATGTCACCTTGAAATTACAAGTGTAGCACTGTCAAAATGATATTTAGAAAATATGTCAATTTGTAAAAGTGCGATGAAGTGCAGAAATGTTTTAATTGCTGGATTTAGCAACCAAAGCACATGCATATGTATAGAAAGCTGACTGTCCACTTTTTGCCTTACTTAAGAATTAAGCCCTCGCCCTCTAGTAATTGAATATGATACTTTTGAAGACGGTATTGAGAGGACTTCATTGAAAGATGAACGATTGATAAACCTAAATGTCCCCAACATCAGCTCGTACAGTGTAGAAAAGAGAGACACTCAAAAATGTGAAGATATAGTTAAACGTGGAGTTCCACAAGGAACTGTAATGGGACCAATCCTGTTCAATTCGTATATTAACACCTGATGTTGAAAAACGATGAAGAAATTATTGGTTTCGCAGATGACACGGCAATTATTGATTCAAAGATTAGTCTTATTTAAAAAAACAAAATTATATTGGATTTTAAAAAGGTTACAATTTTTTCACGGGAAGGATTTTAACAGTCAACTTTAACAAAACATATTTTATTACTTCAAATTGAAACGTTCAATAGCTGCAAAAACATACAAACAGTTGATAATTTCAAATATTTAGGGTTATACATAGATAGTATTAGATGGAATATACAAGTTGAAAATATAATAAGAAAATCAAACATTTCAGAAGTTTTTTTGAACGAAACGTATCTATACATGATATATCATGCCTTTCTTCAATCGTTACTATCTTATGGAATCTTAGCATGGGGAGGGGGGGGGGGTTTAGAGTCGTGAATAATTATTATAAAAAAACTGGAATTGTACAAAGTGGATTTCGAAGGTTATGTTGAAGAAAAAGAAATGTTATCCCACTGAAAATATTTACAGGGAATCTCAGCTTTTCGACTGCCGGTAAATATATTTTTACCACACAATAATAAAATTAACAAACAATTCAAAAACCCGATTTAAGGAAACATCTGCACTTATCCCGAGACTAAATAAAATTAATACAAAAAAATCAGCACCTTTGTGTTGTTTCCGTTATCTGACACTCCTTTCCACCAAACCAGAATCACTGGTAGCAAATATACTCAATTACATTGGAAGTGCTACACCCAGAAAAAATAATTTCTTTTGCTATTACGCGTCAGACGGCTGACCAATGGTTTGAAGAAGGTAGACGTGTTACCATGCGTACACTCCATCGCCGCATTCGAGCCCGTCCACGGTTAGTGCTACCTCTGACTGCGGACCACTGTCGTCAACGTTTGAACTGGGCAGAGAACGGCAACATTGGGAGGCAGAATGGCATAATGTCATCTTCGGCGACGGATCGCGATTCTGTCTAGGTACACACGATGGTCGTAGAAGGATAAGACGCCGCCGTGGAGAACGGCGTGATATTGGATTTGCTGTTAAGAGGCATGTACACAGGACTGTTGGCGTAATGGTTACCCAACACATTATGATTTTTTTCTTATTACTTGTTAATAAAATTTCGTGAGAATGTATGTTATCGTTTCATTCTTGATGTTAGACTACCTCATTGCCCAAAAATCAGGTTGAGGAAATTATTTTTTCTGGGTGTAACACTTCTAATGTCACCGAGTATACCTTTGAAATAACAAGAAAAATACTACTACATATTTGAGTTTTTTTGGAACATAAACATCCAACTTGCAAATATGGTCTTGTGATTTGTAAAGTAAGGAGTAGTACTAGTTATCGTGTTTGAAAGTTACTTGGAACACAATATCTCGAATTAGTACAAGTTACAAATTAATTCACATGTAATTATCACACCGTACTTTTTATGGAATAGGGCTCATCGCTGTGCTCTGTTGAACCATTACAAAGCAGAAAAACCAGTGCCAAGTCACTATAGTGATTAGACACATCTACAGTTCTGGCCACTATTTGATTGACAAACCTAAGAGTCAGACTTATAGATCCTTCTCATCAAAATGCAAGATACGGCAAATGCGGTAAGGCATCGAAGACATAAAGTAGATTTTATAAAATGTCCTAGGATCTAGTAGTTTTAATTAATGTGGCAACCATGTGCGTCACTGTCATTATTTAACTTTGTGACGTAACTGCTTTCATTCAGTTAATGTACTGTAGATACGGTCATCAAAGAAAAACTCTTTATGACATCGATGACAGCTTGTGAAGACAACGGTACTGTGAAATGAAAATGTTGAACGTTCCTCAAGGAAGCGTCAATGTTTCCAAAGAAGCCTTAAGGAAGGTCTATAAATCTGACTCTAAGTGAAAAAAATCAAACACATGTGCAAATAACATCTAACGCTGCCAATTCATCGCAAAGTATGCATGATTTAATCATAAAAATTACAAAAAATCATAATGCATGAATATCATAAAGCTTAACCCACATCGCAAAGTATGCATGATTTATTCATAAAAATTACCTAAAATTACAAAAAATCATAATGCATGAATATCATAAAGCTTAACCCACATCGCAAAGTTCATTTTAGACTTCTATTGTATCAAATACATGATTTAAAATTTACATCATACTGGCGAAACAACACAAAAACTATAAGAAATACGTTGTACATTTAATTAGAATTGTTTAACAGTCTAACCGGCACAAAAATATGCACTTACCCACTTTAACCATTGAAGAAGGAAAAAAACATACCTCCAGTAATCATGGATATATAAGCTTGATAATACATCAAAAATCCAGCTACAATAGAAGTCTAAAATAAGCCGTTTCTCATGCTCAAACTTTAGATTCTAATAAAGGGTTTTTCATTAAGTGTGCCTGAAATTTAAGATTGAATAAAACGAGTTGTGTGCGACATATGATGAAAACTTTAATCCGTACACTCAATACCATTACGTTGTAAAAATTACATC